TTATCAGTAAGATCTTGTCGTATCCAGAGACCTTTGTTCCAATTATCTTGTTCCTCTCTTGCAAAAAGTCAATTGTCAGTTGTTGTGTCGATGCGGTGTCTCTTCTTGCAGGACCAACTCAGTTCCGTGGTTTATATTTACTATTTCAAGCCGACCGTGGTGACATCCCCACTGACGGCCTTGCCAGGGGCTCATCTTGCATGATGTTCTCGGCTCTGTCTTAGATCATGTGATGTTGTATGGAGGAACTATGTCGTGTTAAGGTCACTTTACTGAGAATTTCGATATGTCACATGCGTTACTTCCCTTTTTGGAGAATAATCACCTGGCAACCTGACAATGCATAATGTTTATGTGTTCCTGTGCTCTCGAGTCGAACACTGACTGACACATCCATACGGTGCTGGTGGTTCCATGATGAGCAGCGAGTCTGCGGACTATCCCGCGAGGCTTCCGTTACGAACACGAACAGCAAAGAAGCAATCAATATTCCTACGAAATTGCCTCCTTTGACTGCCATGAGAGCACGAGCGATGTCGTTTGCTAACAACGTAAGAGCGTCAAAGTTACCACGAGCAATCGATCTTCAGTCGACGGTAACGAGTAGAGTCATCCACATGGAATTAGAGGCTTCGGAGCTACCGAAACCAGGAGCATTCCCCCGAGATATTCATCAGTATGTGAATACGGTAAATGGCCCTCCCACAGCACGAAGCGGTATTGCAGGGGCTCACGGACAAATTTGGCCCACAATGATGATCAAGACGTTCACCGCTCTGAAGTCCGTGCACAATGCATTGTCGAATGGCTTGTCGAATGACTTCTAGTCGAGGAGCTCACATCGATGTTTGCACCTTCTGGACAGATATTGCGTCCACATGTCGAACCACCATCCCACGAATGTAATGGTGATATCAGCTCATGGTCACAACAGAGAGATTTGCGGCGATTGAATGCTCACGATGTCCTATGTTTTCATACTGTACGACAATCCGGACAGGGCAATTGCAGCGATCCAAGCACTGAATGCTGCCCCGCTTGGAAGGTTTCAGTAAGTATGTTCAGAGTTCGATATTCAACAACAAGGGAAGCATTGACCAGGTTACGCAAGGCATCGAGGATCACATGGCAACAGCCGATCAAGTGTCTCACCGCCACTACCTTACTG